ACCAGGAATCAAACCTGCAATCTTTTGGTGTGTGGGATAACACTTCACCCAAATCGAACCACAGAATCCAGAGCAGCCTCCCCATTGTGTCAAGTTTGAGCAGGATGGACAGTGAGTGAGGAAGGTTGAACCCTGCTAGGTTGCTCCCAGGAAGCTAGGTTGCTCCCTGCTGCTGCTGCTCCTTCAGTTGGGTACCCACCTGACGGGCTCCTGCTGTGGAAAACCTGTGTCCAAACATTAGAATTTTCTCAAGACCACATTGAGCAACCAAAAAGAATGGGCAAGTGCAAAAAGCTCATTCAGCTTACTATCCTCTTTCATCAGAGGGGGGAATGGGTCTTCAGAGTCCTCAGCCTCATACTGAGCTGTAGCTGTCCCATGAGGGCTGCTTTCCTGGAGGTGCAGTCCGGACCCTGCAGGCTGCCCCAGTGTCCTCTGCTGCTGTCACGTGGCTCTGAGCCCAGCGAGGAGTGCACGGCTAGGTCTGTTCTCACCCTCCAGCTCGCTTCTCTCACAAAACAAGTCCAGGATTATTGCTTTCCTTTGCATTTCCTCCCCTGCAGTGTTCTATTTATTCATTCAACAGGCACTAAACTAAGTTTTCTGAAAGCAAATGTAACATAGTTTGTGCTCAATCAGCTAATACTACAATAAGAAAAGTAAGATAAATAACTGACAGGGCTTCCCAAACTAAAGTATTATTCAGAATCCCTTGGAGAGCAGACTTTCTGATTCGATGGGTGTGGGTGGAACCAGGAGCGTCATTGCTACCAGGCTCCCGGGGCCGCTGCTGGTCCCCGACCACTGTGCGGTGCATTGTGCCGGAGTGCAGACAGGAAGGCATGGTTAGGCCTTTGGAGTGTGGAGGAGGAAGGAAGGAAATAGCTCCAACTGGTTTATTTACCTTTTTATGTTGTTTTACCTGCTATATTTATTTCCTGGGTCAGATTTTTCTGACCCTTTGAGGCCATAAAAGCTCACTCGAGGTCTCCATGGGCTGCTAGGGACTTCGGGCTCTGAGTCCATGTCAGGCAGGAGACCTGTTTGCTCCAATCCCAGTTGTTTTGTCCTCCTTTTATGTCTTCCCTGCGCTGGCTGCTCATGGTCCTCCCTCCCAGACAGGGTCCCGGGGGGTGGCAGGAATGAGCGCAGCCCTCACAGGTTTTTGAAGAGGAGCTTACTTTATTATTTATTTATTTATTTATTTATCTATTTATCTATTTATCTATTTATCTATTTATTTTTTAATGAGTATTCTTTCTTTTATATATATATATTATTGATTTTTTACAGAGAGGAAGGGAGAGAGATAGAGAGCTAGAAACGTCAATGAGAGAGAAACATCAATCAGCTGCCTCTTGCACACCCCCTTACTAGGGATGTGCCCGCAACCAAGGTACATGCCCTTGACCGGAATCGAACCCGGGACCTTTCAGTCCGCAGACCAATGCTCTACCACTGAGCCAAACCGGTTTCGGCAAGAGGAGCTTACTTTAAAAACCCGTCCCTGGGTGAGAGCGGCTGTCAGAGCAGCTTTCAGATGGCGTTCTCTGGAACCCGGTACCTCAGGGGCTGTCATAGGGGCTGAGGTCCTTCAGTCTCCCCACCACCACCAAGTGAACCACAATAGCTGTACTTTTATCTAAAAGGGGTTCTGGGAAAATTAGTTCGAGAAAAGGGTTCCATGGCTTTTATTTCTAACTGAAAATTACTGCTCTTAACATTTGCTCAGAGTTTAGCCTCCTTTTGTTCGAGGGAGAGGGAGAGGGAGAGGGACAGGAAGAGGGGGGGGAGAGAGAGAGAGAGAGAGAGAGAGAGAGAGAGAGAGAGAGAGAGAGAGAGAGAGAGAGAGAGGGAAAATGCAAGGATTGAGAAGTTTTAGATACAGTGATCTAGTTTCTATGGATATTATCGAAGTTCCTTTAACAAAGAAAGCCGTGTTATATCTTTACATGTTTTATGACTTTCCATTGGATACTATTCAATAAATAAGCAGCATCACACACCACATGCCAGTCTCAGCCGGCCCAGGGGTGCAGACTTGAGTAAGACCCAGATCCTTGAAAACATGTTAGGAATTATCTTCACTCCTCTCCTCTCCCAGCGGTCACCAGCTCAGCTCCAACACCTCCATTGATTCATTGTGACCACCCCCCTGTGCTGCTTGTCTCCGGCATGTACAGTGACCCCTTGTGCTTCCCTCACAAGAGAAGGGGGACATGACGGGATGTTTTAGGAGATTGGCCATGTGTGAGTTCACCCTGATCTCTCAGGCCTCTGCCTCACTACCTGACCATCCCATTACTCAGCCGCTTTGGGTTTGCCTCCAATTCCCCATTCTGCTGGGCTAGATTTTGTGCAAACGTTACTCAGCGAATCGTCTCTGAGCATCAGTGGAGACCAGTGGGTGGTGATGCTTCAGGATGAAAATGGCAGTGTCCGGCAATCAATAACTTCGTTCCAGGCTGAGCCTGGAATGCTGACTCCCCTCCTCTCCATTAGTTCTCCCTTTAGGATCAGATATGTTAAAAGACATTTGTTGTAAAACCCTCTAAAGGAAGTACCCATGGATCCGGTGAAAGCCCGGCCCGGCACAGCCCTCTGGCGGTGGCCACTCCTGCTGTCCCCGCGGGGCTGAGAAACGAGTGTGCCGGGCCTGAGACGCTCTTGACTTTTCAGAAAGACTCCAAGTATCTTAAAATAGCGTGGTAGCTCAAGCACCAACAATAACAGCACGTTGTTCCTGAGAACGGCCGTTTCAGTCCGGGCATTCGTTCTAGCAGCTCGGGGCTCCCACAGGGGCGGTTCCAGTGGGACTCGTGTGGTCTCTTCGAGACAGGAAACAAGGTCTGGTGGCATTCCCTCAGACTGCCCCCTCTCACAGAGGAATCTCCCTACAGAAACTATGCTCACCTACGCCCTGGAACTGGTGGTGTCCACCTGATCTTTTCCTTTTTTAAAAAATTTTTTTTTTAATATATTTTATTGATATTTTACAGAGAGGAAGAGAGAGGGATAGAGAGTTAGAAACATCGATGAGAGAGAATCATTGATCAGCTGCCTCCTGCACACACCCCACTGGGGATGTGCCCGCAACCAAGATACATGCCCTTGACCGGAATCGAACCTGGGACCCTTGAGTCCGCAGGTTGACGCTCCATCCACTGAGCCAAACCGGTTTCGGCCACCTGATCTTCTTTTTTTTTTTTTTTTTTTTTTTTTTTTAATAAGACTCATTTATTTTTTATTTTTTATTTTTAAATATATTTTTATTGATTCTATACAGAGAGGAAGGGAGGGAGATAGAGAGTTAGAAACATCGATGAGAGAGAGTCATCGATCAGCTGCCTCTTGCACACACCCTACTGGGGATATGCCAACAACCAAGGTACATGCCCTTGACCGGAATCGAACCCGGGTCCCTTCAGTCCCCAAGCCAACGCTCTATCCACTGAGCCAAACCGGTTTCGGCCACCTGATCTTCTTAAAGTGGCTGTGACGCTCCTCTTTGCCTCCCTCAGTAACAACAGTCACTCCACCCTCTGGGCCTAGGCCTCCAGCCTGGACACCGGCAGTCGTGTTCCCATCACCAAGCCCGAGGAGGGCGTCGGGGAGAGGAATGGGGAAGCCAGCCGGCCAGCCCCCCTGTAGGGCACAGAGTGTTGGGATCCCCATGCCGCCCTCTGAATGGACAGGCATCAGCCAGCCCTGGGCTCCCTCGTCCTGGCAGAAGCCATGTGCTGGCTGTGGAAAGCCTTGCCCGCCCCCCACCCACCGGGTGCACACAGGCCCAGTTGCCTTCTGGCGGCTCCATAGAGCCGTCACCAGCTCACACTCAGCAAGCAGTTTGGTTTCTAGCCCCTTCCCGTACTGAAAACCCTGCTCAGAGCCAGGGTTTGGGGGCAGCGAGGGTGAGGGAGACATGGGGTGGGCAGTGACTCTTCTCCTTGGATCACATGCACGGCAGACCTGGAAAGTGCTGAATGGCAGGGTCACTGATAGCTTCATCGGCCGCCTTTCCCTGAGCAGGTCTCGGCAGCACCCTTGACCTACTTCAGTTCCTGTTTGACGCAGTAAAAGCACACGTTGAGGTTGCTGCTTCACAGGGTCCAGATTCATCACTATTGACGGATGTGCCTTCTGCCTCCGCCCGGCGCTCCCTCTGGTGTCTGCTGTTACTGTAATGGGCTGCTCATGGTGCAGTCTGAGGCCCAGGCACTGACCCTTCGGCCTGGAGAACTGCAGCTTGGCCCGAGCGGAATCAGCTGCACGAGGATGGTTTAGACCAGTCAGGTGCAGCTTGACTCACTTTTTCCCCTGAAAAATAGTCGGTGTCAATGGCATTTGTGAGTGTTCATATTTGCATCTTTGCGAAGCTTAACTTCAATCAGGATACTGGAGGCTTTCCACTTCCATTCTGAGGTGTTTTTTTGTGTGTGTGTGTGTGTGTTTTTTTAACAACTTAAACGCTGTGTAGGTACAACATCTGGTCCTGCTCTTCTGAGCGCCAAAAGTGAAATGCCTGGTGAACACCATTTATTTGTCTATTCATTATACTGATAGGCAGACAAGTCCCTCAGTTCTTCCAGGCTTCTGGGGTCGTGCCAGGAAGCTGTTGTTCTCCCAGAGGCTCTCAGCGGTTTTCAGGAGATGTCTCCTACTGGTTCTTCCTCTTCCTCCCTCCCGGAGAGGACTGCAGTCACTGTTTGTCCAGGAAATCCCCGCTGCTCCGGGCCCCCAGCTCCGGCTGGAAGGACATCAGAGCGCCCCAGGCAGTGCCTCGCAGCAGGCACCCGCAGCCGACGCGTGTTGCTCTCTCTCGCTGTGTGTCTGCCCTTCCCTGGCTCAGGGTTCGCAGGCCAAAGCCAGCAGGTTATTGAAAGAATGAGAGTCATTTGACCTCGGGCATGTGTTGGGGCTCTGGGTTATGGGGTGTTTTGTTCTGATTCGAAACCAGCTGTGTGGTAACCACTAACTCTCCCCTTATTCTTTTCTTGCAGATGAGCTCACAGTGCCTGCACTTTACCCCAGTAGCCCTGAAGTGTGGGCCCCGTACCCTCTGTACCCAGCGGAGTTAGCGCCTGCTCTACCTCCTCCTGCTTTCACCTATCCCGCTTCACTGCATGCCCAGGTAATTTATACCCATCGGCCACGACTCCACTCACCCCTCCACCGGTCCTTTCAAACCTGGTTCCCAGCGCGCACCGTACCACTAACACCTACCGGCTAACAGATCCACCTTTGAGAAACTACTGATCCCCTCTACATCGAGCTGCCACTCCTCCGGGACTTACGAGGACCATCTGACAGCAATGATATCACCCACTGCCTGATGTCTGCCCAAACAACACCTCTCTCTCCCTTAATGATCTCACCCTCGTGTCACCCACAAGGGACCGGGCCCAGGTGACCTCCCCAGCGCCCGGCCGGCTGGAGGCGTCACCAGAGCACAGACGTGCGTGTGCCTTGTCGTGTGGGAGAGCCGCAGGGGAGGTGTGCGCTTGTCGTAGGCGTGACGTGTCTGCGTGTGTTTCTGCATTCTGGGAGATTTTTCTCTCCTGTTCTCTTGAGAGCTACCCTGTTTCCCCGAAAATAAGACAGTGTCTTACATTCATTTTTTTTCCCCAAAGTTGCGCTAGGTCTTATTTTCAGGGAATGTCTTCTCTTTCCATGCGCTAGGTCTTATTTTCGGGGAAACACGAAGGGGAACTTGGGAGCTTCCAGGAATATGTTACAGAAGAAATTAAGGGTTTCTTTTTCCCATTTTCAGGAAATCCTGAAGAAAAGAAAGTACAAAATAGTGTCTAAGAATGTAATGGCAGGTCAAAGTAGAGGCCTTTGCTCTGACCAGCTTTTTATTTTATTTTATTTTTTTATTAAGTTAACAATAGCCTGAGATTTATAAATTGCCTGTTTTTTTGTTTTGTTTTGGTTGTGGGTTTTTTTTGTTTTGTTTTGTTTTTTACAAAGATTACTGTCTACCTACCAATCCTTTCTCTCCCCTTTAGTGCAAGTAGTAATATCAATATTACGATTCATGGTGATGATCAGCAGCAAGAAAGATAGGAGAATCCAGGTTTCACTTGTCTACTGCATGTGTAACTCCTCTAAGAGCAGGAGGGCCTAGCTTTTTAAGACACGTTGGCTTGGACAGGTGGGGTTTTTGTCTGTCTGTTTTGCTTAGTGTGTATTTCCAAGGCTGGATCGGAATAAACAGCTTCCCAGAATACTCTTCCTTCCGACCAAACCCTTCTGTGTTGTACAGAACCCTTTGTGTTGTTCAGAACTCACCGTATGTGTCAGACCCTACAAGCAGTCCCAGCAAAGGTTCCCACAGGTCGTGGGGCCAGGTGTGCTGACCGTCCTTCCATTCTGTCAGCTAAGCTCTAAGTGCTTCCTGCGTGCACTGACTACCCGGCTGCCCGGGCCTCCTGCAGGCGAGCTGACAGCCCGGGAGTCTAGGCCGTGGTTACCCTCTGGGCTGGGAGGAGGAGGCAGAAAGTAGTGAAGAAAAATGCAGATGGTATTTGGTCCAGAAAATAAAGTAACAGGATTATTCTGAGACTAATTCCCCTTCTCTAGATTAGCTGTGCTTTCTGCTGCCTTTCTACCTTTTGTCCATGTCTGTGCTTGGTCAGCGGGAGATGGCAGGGAGAGGAAGGAGGGGTAGAATGTAAACCTGTGCGTATCTTCTGCTGAGTCATCATCTTGCTCGGAGTGGCTTGGAGATCACTTGTAGAGACGGGAAAAGTGTCCCCTCTGTTTGTGCCCATGCACCCCACCCCTACCATCTGCGGATGTGTCTGCTCTCCTCTTCCTAGATTGCCTAGAACCGTGGTCGGCAAACTGTGGCTCTCGAGCCACATGCAGCTCTTTGTCCCCTTGAGTGTGGCTCTTCCACAAAATACCACAGCCTGGGCAAGTCTATTTTAAAGAAGTCTAGTTAGAAGAAATTTAAGTTTAAAAAAATGTGGCTCTCAAAAGAAATTTCAATCGTTGTACTGTTGATATTTGGCTCTGTTGACTGAGTTTGCCAACAACTGGCCTAGAATATGGATCAGTTGACATCTGAGGCAAGTGTTAATAAATACCATGAAATAGTGCCAAGTTCGCATGGTCATCTGAATATCCATGGCTTTGGTTAATCAGCACCAAAGCTTGTCACCATTGCTCTGGACAAGCAGGGATTGACAGTGGCCAGAAAGGACTGGGAATAGTGGCTTTTGGCCATGGCATCTGGGTCATCTGCCCTTCCTTCATCATGTAACAGATGAAATGAAAAATAGTACCTGGAGATGTGATGAGAAAAGGCACTCAAGAGCCATAAGAGATTAGAAAGCCCAGGCCATTGGGAGAAAGGATGAGAGAGGAAGCGCCAACATTAGATGGACTCAACCCTTTTAACTTCATAGGATACGTTGCGCAGGTGGCACCTTCCCTATGAGTTCTTCCTTGGCCTGGAGACCTGCCCAACCCGGAACCCCCTTGGCTCTGCCACCGCGGCCCCAGGGTTGGTGGAACTCTCCTCCGGCACCAGAGCTGTCCTGTGCTCAGTCCCACTTCTTGTTCCGAGTCATTCCCAGTGCGAGCGTGGGCTCTGTATCATAAAGACTCATGTACAGATACGGTCATTTAAATGTCTTTGTCCAACACGAGCTTCATAGAACAAACGGGCAGAGGCCTTCCAGCTGACCTGGTCTGACCATTTTACAGATGAGGAAACAGACCGGAGAAGACCGAGAGTTCCCCAAAATCACGAGTGGCTCCGCCATGACGAGAGCCAGGTCACCTGACTCCCGGCCTGGCTCTTTCCATGTCACAGTGCTGGCTCGCCAGGCTTACTCTCTGATGGAATTTTTAAAAAGCCTCACTTGGATCTTTCTCCTCTAAGTAGATAAGACGCCTGTAAGAAGAGACCCGAAGGCAAAGACAAGGGCATCAGAACTTAAGCTTCACCAAAGGGCCTGAGAGAGTTGTTATGACCTGGAGGTAGAGCAGTGGGAGACCCAACACGGAGCATCCCCTTGGTTGATGATTCTGTTTCGTTTTGGAGATTTATTATTATATGTCTTTGGAGAAGCTTTTAAATTATTTTGCTTTTCTCAGCAATGTTGTGCTCTGTTTTGAGACATGGATTTTTTTTTTTTTCTTCTAGTGTTTCTGTCCTGAGGCAAAGCCCAACACACCTGTCTTTTGTCCACTTCTCCAGCAAATTAGATTTGTCTCTGGGAATGTGTTTGTAACGTATCAGCCTACTGCAGACCAGCAGAGGGAGCTCCCAGGCTGAACTGGCTTGTTAGCCATTCCCCAAACCCCCAACCCCACCCCCACCCCAAACTATTTCTTGGTAACATTTGAGAAAATTCAATAAAAATTTTAATCAGAGCAAAAAACGATCTCAAGTCGACTGCAGCGTTTTGTTTTCATGAGGATGGGATTGTGGAGCTAAGGCGTCACCTCCGGCTGAGATTGTGGGAGAAGTAGGCCCAGTGACTCTTAAGTATGTTCTTCAGGAGGAGGAGGAAGAGGAGGAGCCTCTAGCGGTGAGGCAGCCCAGAGCTGGGGCCTCGCTGCCGCTGCTTCCACCTTCTCGCGCTCCGAACCCTCAAGCGCTGTGCATTGGAAGATTGCCGTTCAAGCATCAAGGGATCGCGTCTACCCGGAGACCTGGCTTCAGCAGGATGGGATGTGTGGCCGGTGGAAGCCTATTTGAAGCAAGCAATGTGTTTGCCGGTTACCCACCCCGGTCCGGAAGGAGGAGGACCCAGGAGACGGGAGAGCTGTCAAGGAAGAGGAGTCGCATCACACATCTAGTTCCATGCACCTTCAGTTCACGGTCTGGTGTCTCCATCTCTTAAACTGACATCCAATCCTGCTCCTAAAGAATCGTTGGATATGGTGGTAGGATTGTAGGCCTCAGTCTTGCTTTATTTTTATTGAGATGAAACACTACTTGGTGCAGCAAACATTTGACTTCTGAGAAGGTCATTCATATTTTTAGACGTGATCATCCTGTTTACTTTCAGGGCCATTGGTATTTGAAATTTATTGGCTATGTTTTTTGAGTCATTGAACAGGCGAGGGAGGCTTCCTCCATGGCCTTCGGGAGCACAGGACTCTGCGGAGGACGCCCAGCTGCTCCGGTCACCTCGTGGTCACACATCTCCGTGTGTCGTGTGGGTTCAGTGTCGCTCTGTCTTGTTGCCGATGGGGCAGCAAGAAAGTCAATGAAAGCACAGTCCTCACCACATTCCAGAAACAATGCCACGTCCCCTAGGCCAGGGGCACGCTCTTAGGCCAGGCCTTCGGCAGGTCGGGGGCTGGGAAAGCAGGTGCTGGTGCCTGTGTGTGCTCCGGTGGCCCCTCTGCCTGAGCAGCAGCAGATCTCACAGGCTGTCTCTTGGCCCTGGACTCGGACACGTCACCTGCACGTAAACAAAGGTTTTAAAATCACAGCACAGACTTCCCAGGGGCAAGACATGCCCCTTGGGAGGTCCCTTGTGACACACTGGAAAAATTTAAAAGGTTAAATGCAAAATAAGTACAAAAATGGACCATGGGAAAAGAGACACAGCAAATAGGGAGGGGGGATCGTGGGGGAAGCGGGCCCAGGCGTGGCACGCGGTGGCCTGACGCGGGGTGTGCCACCGCCGTCTCCCGGCGTGGACTCGGCCGCACCGCAGACGTCTGAGCGCTGCCCTTTAGAACTGTTTGTTAAAAAAAAAACAAATGCTATTAAGCATCTTCTCCATCACTAACTGTGCCCTGTAGAGGATAGGGGTAAAGAGGACACGAGACTGTCTGGTTTGGGATGGGATGTATGTTAAGCACAGAGACCACAAGCAAGCAGTGTTTTGCCAGAGGCAGGGAGCAGAGCAGGTGTGAGTGGCCTCAGGTGAGCACACAGCCCGCGGCCTGGCAGCTGCTGGTGTGCACTGCAGCCCCACACCCGTTGGGACTCACAGAAGGACTCGTTTCCCATCCCCCGCTCCTGTTCAGAGGCAGCATCCAGTGCTGTCACGGTGGCTGGTCCTGCAGGGGGACCCGTCAAGAAAGCCGTCGCGGGAGCCGGGAGGGTTCAACACTTCTAGCCAGCAGCCTCCCGAAGGGGAGGGAGGAGTCCTGAGGTCTGGGCCTCACTTAGGAGCATCATACATGGCCTCAGCCCTGAATCCCTGCTTCCTCATCCTCAAGGCCTTTCCCAAAAGGGTGTGTGGTCCTCTCGCCACCTGGGCTGGGCACTGTCTGGGGACCACAGCTTGAAGGAGCCTGGGGCTGTCCTCGAGGCTTTCTGTGGCTCAGACATACATGAAGCTAGGAATCCTCTGGCATTCCTTTCTGCCTAACCCTGCAGCTCTGAAGGTCAGGCTGCGAGGAGAAAGCACCCTCTGGTGTTCCTGAAGGTGCCAGCTCTGTCCAGTGTCTGGTCACCCAGGAGCATCTGCCTTAAGCCCCCTGGGAGGCGGGGCGGGCGGCCAGGCAGTGAGCTCGGGAGCGCCTCCCCTGGCCTTTCCTGGTGCCCTGCTGTGGGTTGCGGCTGCCTGTCTGCCCAGGCCCTGCAGTGTGACCTGTCTGAGCAGGGGCCTCAGCCTCAGAATTGCTGTCAGTGGGAATGAGGAGCCCTTGTGTGAGACTCTTGAAAGAGTGCCCGGCTCACCTAAGGGCTCGGTAACATGAGCCCGCAGGGAGCGTACGGATTGTCAATGAAGAGAAGGGAACCTGGGACCAGCACCACGAGGCGCTGCTAGTTCAGCACCGAGGACACTCCGCACCCCTGGCAGCAGCAGCCGGGTTCCAGAGGCGCCGCCCCGAGGAAGGCCAAGCTGGGAAGAATGGCAGGGACGGAGCAAGACGAGGAGGTGTCTGCACCCAGCCAGCAGCGTGCTTGCTGCTGAGCGTGGCACCCACAGGGGGAGTCTCCCCACAGCCCGGCCCGACGCGCCTGCCCGAGAAGAACGCTCCGCAGGAAGTGGATCAAGAACAGGAAACAGCTGCCATCCCAGAGGCCAAGCAGTTGGTGTGTTTTGCTGCACTCACACCGCTGGCCCTGAACTTCCCAGCTGCGGCCTTATCTTGCTTTTCTATCGGAGGCCGGATCAGATCCCACCTTCCTCCCTGGGCTTTCTGGCTGGTTCTTCCTGCAGTTACTCCTCCTCCCGCCACCCCCACCCCCTTTGCTAGGACTGGAACCAGCCTCATTTCCAGGTGGCTGGAGTTGCATCTTGTGCCTCGTCATTCTCACCACCGCGGTCCTATGGCTGAACCCCAGAGGATCTCACTCCTAGCCCAGCAAACACCTTCTCAGCATGTCCGTCCTGCCCGTCCCTTCCCTTCTGCCAGGCGTTGGGGGAACTCAGGAAGTGAGAAACATGGGCCTGCGCCCTGCCTCGCCGGCCTCACCTCAGCCGTTGTTGCTGGAGTCATGCCTTTGGCAGAGCTGCAGCTTCCGAGGCCAGACCTGCCCAACCGGGCAGCCTCTGGCAGTTCCCGCTCTAAAACAAGTCAGCCCCCCGGGCCATGCCCTGCCCAGGGTCGCTGATCCCAGGGTGCGAGAACAGCTCAGAGGGGACCCCCTGACAGGGCAGCCGGGTGGCCTCCATCGGTGCAGTTTTCCGGGTTTCTTGAGCAGGTTCCACTCTGAGGCCAAGCTCCTTACATCCTCGGTCTCTGTTCCTGGCCTCGTTGGCCACAACAGCCCATCTCTGAGGCTCGGAGTCATGCCCGCAGGCACATCGGGGAGCCAGCCTCTGCCACATGGGGATTCACAGAGGCAGGTCTGACCGTCGGGATGGCTCAGCACAAAGCTCATAGGGTCACAGCCCTTTACTTCAAAAAAGCCCCGTCTTAATGAGGGTTTCCACCCGTTCTGCTAACTTTGGGGCTGTAGCAGGCTTTTTAAAAATTTCTCCGAGCTGTTTCCTCATCTGTAAGGAAGAAGGGACACCTGCTTCAGGGCGTTACTTGGTAGGAAAGAGTACGGTGCTTGGCGTTGTCCAGTAATGATTAAAATCGCTCTTTTTGTCAGAGCTAGGTGGTGCCCGTGGCTGTGGTGTGCGGAGGGGGCGCTGGCTCAGGCGGGGGCCGTCCACCCCGGGCTTAGGCCTCGTTTTACAGGAACAGGCGCCCAGAGCGCGCTCTTACTGCTTTGGCAACAACACCAAAGCTGCAGAGAAACTCCGCCATGATAACACACATCCTCCATAAAGAGAAAGTGAACTCCTCCTTGAAGATAACCGGTTGTGACAGGGGCAGAAGGAACACCGGCTCCAGATGGGATCATGTTTTATTCAGGCTCGGTGCTGCTGGCGGGGAAGGCCCGGGCGCGGGGACGGGTGGGAAAGTGGGGCGCCCCGGGTCCAGCCTCAGCCGTTCTCCCCGGAGTTGTTCTCGCTTCGCCGAGCTCGGCTCCCGGAGACCTCTAATGGCCCTCCGTCGCAAACATGGTTAAAAATTAACAGGCCGACACAATTAAATATGGATGACAGGCAGCCGCGATGGACTTGATCTGACACAGGGCGTTACATGCTTGGGTGCCTCGACCCAAGCTGCGTCTTGCATGAGCTTCTGGGACGTCTGAGCGCATTTCACATGCCTGTTTGGAAGTCAGAGCCTGGCTTGTGCTCAGGACAGACAGGGTTAGAGTCTAAAAGCCCAGAAGAGAAAGCCATCCCCGAGGGCTTATGTTTAATTAAGGCCAAGCCTCACTGGTCTCAGCAGGTGCTCAGTCCTACGCCTCGCATTGGGGGGAGGGAGGGATGTCTAGATCTCGCTCCTGCCCAGGCTCAGAGCTCAGCAATATCCCACCATTTGGACAGGGAGGTGGGCAGGAGCTCAGGGCCTTGTGTGTCATCAGCCGGGGATAAGGTGGCAGATAACTTTGGAGCCAACTCTTCCTGTGAGACGTGACAGCACGCCTAGACAGTGGCAGCCCGTTGCATTGCCCGAGGCAAGGACTGTTACATGCCAGCCCGTGAGTGAAGAGTGCTGATTGCACTGCACGCCCTCCGTGTCTGTTAGGACAGGGGCAGAGGGAGATGGGACTGGAAGTTCCCTTACAGAGTGGTCGTCAGTGGGCCTCGTTTCTTGGAACAAATTCCCAAATGTTCTTCCAGTGGGGAGAATGCTGTATTAAAAATGGGGAGGGTTGCTGCTTGAACGAACCCTACAATTAGTCCCACAAAGAGTTCCATCTTTATTGTATTACAAATCGTCAGCGAGCTTCTTGGATCAGAGTAGGTATACATCTGGCTTGGTGGCCTTTCCTTCAGCCTGACAACCTTGAGCCGAGTTCGCTGTGGGGCTGACGGGCTTCCTTTGTGATGCTCAGCAGTGACAGTCCCCACGCCGAGGGAGGGCAGAGTTGGCCGAGTTGTGAGCGGCTGCAGCAGTGGGCTCCGCGAGCCTGGTTCTGAACGGGGAGCTGGGGGGAGCGAGCATGTGGGCGTAGCGTCTGCACAGGGGAAGGGAAGCGCCTTACAGATTGGACGTCCACGGCGCCGGCCGGCTGGGGCCCTTCCAGCTCTAGTTAGTGTCCTAGGATCCACCAAACGCCACCATCAGAAAGGACCTTCCAGGCCAACGTGTCTCACCGCCCTCCGTTACTGCAGCTGGCACTCAGTGAAAAGAGGCTGCAGTCAGATAATAAACCTGGAGAACCCGGGGTCCGTGCGTGTCAGACCGGCTTCTTTATGGTGGACTCTCAGCCTTTACTGTGCCCATGTGTGTGTGGGACCTGCTGAGGGGAGACTGTTTTCTCTCAAACCTGTTTGCACAGCATCTCTTCCGGTCAGCTTCCGGCCACACGTCTGTCCGCCTCATTCAAGAACAGCCTCAGGCTGGAGCACAGGCCCCGTTGTCCTGGGAGCTTGTTAAGTGCAGGTGCTCGGGCCGCATCCCTAGAGTTTCTGCATTGCTGACATGTTCTCGGGTGATGCTGAGGGTCTGCATGCCACACTGTGAGAGCCACAGAGGAGAAGATGGCAGAGCCGGGGTGTGTATTAATAATGGCTACCGTAACTGCGCCCAGCACCTGGGAAGCCCCTCTGGTGGTTATTTCTAAAGGCACGTGTGACGCTGGGAGTCGGTCCCCGGAGAGGGGACAGCAGAGTGCAAACAGTGAGCCCTGTGGCGGGGTGGGGATGGGGGTAGGGGCCTGGCAGGGGCTCCCCCTGGAGGCCAGCCAGGGTCTCCCCGTCCTTGGCAGCGCTATTGGGAAAGTGACATCTGTATGCATTCAGTCCTCTGGGCCTTGTTGTCCGTATCTATAAATGGAAGAGGGTGGAAATTGTTTTTATGGGTGCTTGCTACTTTTTCTGGCGTTCCGCTTTATTTTTGCCCAGTTGTATTTTATGTTTTTCCTGGGTGCTCTCCTTTTACCAGCCATAGGAGCTGGTACACACCGAGGCGTGGGAGACCCCGTTGTGCCTGGCCTGGAGGAGCGTGTCTGAGGAATGTGATGGCAGGACCCAGGCAGCGTGGCTCCTGGACTGCACTGGCAGTGACTGCTGTTGCACTGAGTTCGAGTGGAGAAGTGTCCCGGGGCCTTCGTGCCGCTTATCCACTTAGGGATGTCAGTGCCTTAGTCTCTGGCACAGAGGGAGTAATCAGTGCTAGTCCAGGCTGTAGATACTATGTCAGAGGTTCTTACAGGGACTTCTGAAGCCCCTGGAAGCGTATGCATGATTGTGAGTGGGAGTTTATGCAGACGGACCTTGGCTGTGCATGGCAGGTCAGCCGTGTGGCCTGTCCCTGCTGAGCTGTCCGGAGCAGGAGCCAGGGGCGTGTGGGTGTCCCGGTGGTGGTGGTGCACCGAAAGCAGCCCCTGGGCAATGGACAGCAGTGGCCACGAGCAACCCGGGGCCGGAACCACAGCAGAACAAGCAGCCCATGTGGTGTAAGGGTTAGACCTTCTCTTCCCCCGGAGGACGGCAGGGAGTAGCACATGTAGGTCATCTAGGTCAGCTCGCCTGCCCGCCAGCACCCAATTTCTCCCCGTGAGCCATGCTGCCTCTGAAACATAGACGTCGGCCCTGGGAACACCGCCCTCTGCTGGAAGGCGGAAGAGGAGCAGGCCTGCTTGGTGAGAAGAGCCTGTGGCGAAAGCGATGGATTTCAAGGCCTGTCTTGACTCCTTCGCCTCCACGTGCCCCTGAGAACCGGCCAGCGGGCCACCTGCACCTCAGTCTGCTGAGCACAGCTCTCCCTGGACCCCGCAGCTCCGAGTGGCCTGCGGGTCACCCTGGAGGGCTCGGGCTTCAGGCCGGGCTGACGTGGCGCTGGTCCCCCAGCAGCAGGCCCGGTGGGTCTGAGAACGGTTGCGGTGCCGTGTGGGTGGAAGAGGCTGTCGGAGAGGCCGGGGTGGGTGTGTGGAGACGAGGGCTCCCTTCCCGCAGCCACCTGCACTGGAACGGCCATGCCCTCCCCTCTGCGGCTCTGTCTCCTGTGACGCACCAGCCTGCCTTGGCCTCGTGGGCCGGCACCCTGGCACACACCCAGGCAGCACCAGTCACATGTGCTCCCCCAGCCCCGGTGCACACAGGCCCCTCCCCTCCCGCTGTGTTAGGTTCCCAGCCCTTCACCTCCCCATGGCTGTGTCCCGTCCCCCCCTTTACACCAAAGACTCTGGGGACCAGGCAGAAGGTGAGGGTACTGCCTCAGGGAGGCAGCTCCAGCCCTGTCCTTTGCTTAGGGAGCAAGTGGACTCAGAGGCACAAAGCCATAAGCCATGGGTAGGTACGCGTGTGTTTTCTTTGTGTCTCTGTCTTCCTCTCCTCCCCTCTGCCCTCTCCCCTTCCCTTGTTGTCTGCCCTTCCTCTCCCTTCTGGTCCTCCTGCCTCCCACGTGGCCCCTCTGTTTCCCTCCTTTGCTGTGTATACTCCCCGAAATTCCCAAAATGACCTGCTTTGTAGCCTACCTACATGCAAAGTGTCTGGTCCGTCATTCCCTGAATCGCTCTGTGGGTTGAAATGACGCTGGCCCTGCCTTACCTGGCCCTGCCTGCTGGTGGCTCCTGAGGAATGGGTCTCTGCCCCCTCACAATATGGGACCCCGGGGGTCATCTGATTTCTAGTCCGTGTGCCGTGGTCCCTCAGAGGATCTCTAGGTACAGCTGGCCCGAGGGGCTCCCCAAGGCGCAGGCAGAGCTGAAAATGCGTCCACCGTGCTTTTCAGGCCGTTTCCCCAGTGAGACCAGAGGCCTCTGCCCCGGGCGGGGGGAGGGTCCCCGAGGGCAGCATGCCAGCCAGGCAGGAAGTAACCGCTCTGGTGGGGAGGCCCGTGGTGGGAGTGGAGGGAAACACCAAGGACTCTGTGGGGACCAGGCAGAAGGTGGGGGTACCGTTGTGGGCTTTGCTAGGACCCGTTCTGAGCCAGCCAGCTTCCGAGTGACATCGGGAGAGCTGGTGAGCCTGGGCCCACTGGGCCCGTGACCAGGGGGCCTCGTGGAGAACACCCAGGACTCGGCTGGTTTTCCTGCAGACGCGGGGAAGACAAGGCAGGAGGTCTGAGGCCTCAGCCCCCGGCGCCCGGGTCAGCCAGAGTGCTGCTGCACCTTGGAGATCAGCTGCCATGGGAAGAAGGGTTTCTGGTGCAGAAGGCGTTTTATTAGACCACTGGAGTAGATCTGTCAGGGTTATACTCTGGAAACGTTTCCAGGAGAAACGGTTGGGGCCAGACCCAGGTAACATTGCAGGGTGTCACCTCCAAGGGGCACCCAGCCTCCTCTTTGCCCCCCCTCCCCCAACCCTCCCACATTATACTTGGCTCTGCCACCACTGCTTCCGGCAGTGCCTGCCATTGCTCACCAAGTGGAAGGAAGGCGTCTCTCCTCAGTGCAAACAGACCCTCTTCTCTCTGTCCAAAGGCTCAGGAACAGAACTGACGTGGCCGATAGAGGGACGTTTTACAGCCCAAGTGCTCTTGCCCTTTGGTTTGTTGTTTTAACATTTTCCTCGGTGAAGGACCGGGAGCATCCTGCCAGGTGGACAAAGCCTCCCTCTGTCCTCTTGTTCGCGTCTGGCCTTCCTCTTTGGAAACCTAATGGAATCGGGGCTACCGTCCCTCTGAGCAGAGGGCACAGGGTGCCAGACCCCTTTTCTAAAAGCACAGGAACAGAAGCTGCAGGCCTGCCCAGGCCACGGGCTTGATGGTGGCCTGACCTGTCCCTCCCTCGTCAGAGCAGATCCGCATGCTGAGGGAACCGTGGCGCTGCTGAGTGCGGGAGGGGGCTCACTGGGCCAGCACCCTCTTATTCTGAGAGGAGGATCGGGGCCCCTGGAGGCGGGTGTTTTCCCGCAGCCCGGCCTCTGCATTCACGGGCGTGTGTGAGCAGTGAGCGGGCACCTCCCGTGGAGCAGCGCGGGGTGGAGCCCAGCAGGACACACTGACTGAGCAGCTGGGCGCCCTGGTTTACGGCCTTCTCCCAATCTCTCTCCAGATGCGCTGGCTCCCTCCCTCCGAGGCTACTTCTCAGGGCTGGAAGTCCCGTCAGTTCTGCTGAATACCGCGTGAGTACCTGCCTTCATTGATCGCCGGGACATGTCTATGCCTTATTTCCATCTGGGGCAGAATGGCCTAACCTCTGTGAGCGTGAGGGCCCAGGCATGGAGCCGGCATCAGGAGGGTCCCAGGTGCTGGAGTCACGGCAGAGCTTGGAGCCGAGCCGGGCAGAACAGTCCTGGGTCTTCACTGGCCCAGACGGCTGCTGTGGCACCAGTCACCTGCTCCTCCCTGGACGGGGCCCGGGCACCGTGCTCTCACGGGGCAGCGTGCCCGGAAACCGCAGTGGCACTGTCACTGACTGGCCGTGCCCCTCTGTTAACCACGGCCTCCACACCACACTCCAGCTCATGGGCACAGTCAGCATGCAGTGAACGCCTATAGCGTGTGAGGGTCTGTGCTGGGTGCTGGGGACAGCGAAGAGATGCAGACAGAACCCTTTCTCTCATGGAGGAGGAGATGGACAGTAACATACTAACCACAGGCAGGAGGCGAGAGGTGCCAAGGGGAGAAGAGCACAGCAAGTGAGAGGGTACATGTGATGGGCTGGCAGGCACTTTGCTTCACAGGGGGGAGGAGTCAGGGCAGCCAGACACCCTCCGCACGGAGACCCCGTTTCCCCAGACTCACCTGGGCTCTGTGTTCAGAACATGCCTCACGTGATTCGAGTTTAGAGAATTTCACTTCACTGGTCCTCCTTCTGACCACCCTTAGCTAAATCGAAGTAAACGGCCAAGATCCAGCAGGCTTAGGTGAGGGGAGTGCTGGCAGAGAACTGGGCGCCGGGGCGGCCTGTGCGGCTCACCCTGCCTGCTCAGCCCCTCCCTAGGTTTCTCCCCTGTCCCATCCCTGAGCCTCAGGGTCTGTGAGCTATCGAGTATGAGCAGGCCTGAGAGCCTGCCCTCACTAGTCCCTGTGGTGGTGCCCTTCCAGCCACGGCCCAGTCCTCCACGCCGCCTGCTAAGCACACGGGCACTTAGTGAGCTCATCTCCCGCCAGGACTGTTAGGACAGCCTAAAGCAGGCGGAGCTGGACATTCCTATTTCCTGTGAGTCGGGCTGGGAGACCCCTGAGCATGTGTGATTTGCACCGAGAGAGCTGCCGGCCCAGTCCCTGGAGAAGGTTCAAAGGGAGCAGCCATGTGTTACGTCCTGGCATGGAGTCCCAGAGCAGCTGCTGGAGACAGTCACGGTCAGGGCCACCCAGGGGAGCCTCTGCCCCGACAGGCACTTCCTCCGTCTGCCCAGGGGCTGGCAGTGGGCAGTCCAAAGGCCCTGTGCTCGCTGTGTGTTAAACACGAGCACACTCAGGCTTCCCTCCGGGCCACCTCCCGGGATCTCTGTGGAGCGGACTCTGCCCGCCAGCTGAGCACCGGGGAGTGGACAGAGCAGCGAGGTGACTTCACAGTCCCAAGTGACACTGAGCGGAACCTGCAGCCTTTCTTAAAGGCAGGCATCCTACCAACGCAGCCTTGGTCAGGCGGCCATGGGGACCCCCAGGTCTGCTGCTGATTGGGGTGCTCCCTCCTCGCCCCCTCCCTCCAGTGCTCTTGGCAGGTTAGGAAAGGGTGAGCGAAGATAGGTAAGCTGGTAAGTTTTGTTTGCAGGGATGGCCTTTTCCTGTCCTGAAATATCCCTACTTTTACTCGGAAACTAGAATCACATCAACGCAGTTTATTTTTATAGTGAAATTCTGGGGGAAAACATTTTTTCTCAATTCTGACACATTCTTCAACCTGACCCAGAATCCCTGAGGGGGGTTCAGTTGGACCTCGAGTGCCACGGGGTCTCCTTCTGAAAGGCCAGCTTCCTGTGCGGGAGGGTCCCTGTGCCCAGAGCCGCACTCACACACAGCCTGTCTGCGGAGGGAGCAGGCTGACCGGGCTGATGGGAGAACTGGTGGGGAAAGGGGCCTCTGGGCTTCCTCCCTGGGTCTCCTGGAAGCCAGCTGGCTCAGAGCCATGCCTGCAGGAAGAGGATCAACCATTTACTGTTCGCTGCGTCTCTGCACCTTATTTCAAAATCCTCAGACCCCAGGGAACAGGAGGATGTGGTCACAAATGCTTCCTGGGTCCTGTTTCCTGGAAGGCGCTGGGAGTGAAGTTTGTCACCACAGGGCTCTCCGGGGGAAATGATTGTGGCCTCGGTCTGACCAAGGTGGTAACTGGCCTGAAGGCCCTGGCGCTGGAGAGGTTTCGGGCCTTCTTTGGGGGCCCTCAGGTCCTGTGCCTTCCTCAGCAGGGCTCCGGGCAGTCCTGGGGCTCAGCCACGGAAGAGGCGACGACCCCTGGTGTCCCTCTCCCCAGGTGATTTACACCAGAACATCACCGAAGCACTTTCCCCAGATGCTTTCCCTTCCTCGCTCCACACCCTAAGCTGGCTGTCCTGGCTGTGGCTTTTCAAGCCAAAGATACACGTTCATGCTCAGGCAGCACTTGTGGTCAGCTCAACGGCAGAGGCCTTTGGTTCCTTTGCATTAGGCCTGTGGTTGGCAGACTGCGGTTTGCAAGCCACACGCGGCTCGGCCTGGGAGAGTCTACTTTGAAGAAGTGGCATTAGAAGTTTAAAAATTTTGGCTCTCAAAAGAAATTTCAATCATTGTACTGTTGATATTTGACTCTGTTGTAGACCCTCAGCTCATTGCCCTCCGAATAGGCTGGGCTTAAAGGCCCAGGGAACCCTAGCAGCAGGCCAGGCTGTGGTGGAAACTACTGCACTGTTCCTGGGTTTAACTAATACGCGATCTTTCTCCAAACCAGGTTCCAGGTGTGTGATGGTGGCTGCAATCTGTCTTGTGGGTATTAATGCATCTTCAGTGGTGGCTACTGTTCTCGAGCTGTTCTCCAGAACTGGAGCATGCTGGTGAGTGCCAGAGCAGAGGCTGAACAGCCCTCCGGTGAAGCGGCACATCCCGGGGGAGGGCACACGATGGTGTAGACACACGTGGCCAGGGCCGTCACCAGCATCACCTGGGAGGCCCAGGGCCCAGCGCGTGAGGCTCAGCAGTCTGGGTGCTACACCTGTCCCAGGGGGAGCTCTAAGTTGGGACGTGCTGGTGTGGAGTGCTTAGGGTTAGCGGTTGGCTCTTCATTATCTCCTCCACGGCCTGCACAGGGATGGCGGTCTCAGTATAGCAACTGAGAGCTTTGCAGACCCTAAGAGCCCAGTACGTGGTTCTCACCACAGCCATCTTGGGTGGGCTGAAACTTCATCACACGCTTATCCAGCAGCAGCACTGAATCAGATATAGATGGAGCATTCCCTAAAGCCTTGAACTCTTTTGGGGAAATCAACCATTTTGTCTTTTGCGTTTGTTGTTGTTTTGTTTTGTATAGAGGAAGAGAGAGGGAGAGGTAGAAATATCAGTGATGAGAGAATCATTGCTCGGCTGCCTCCTTCAGATCAAATCTGGGACCCTTCAGTCTGAAGGCCAACACTATCCAGCCAAACCAGCTAGGGTGGGAATTAACCATGTTGGTGGAAATCTTTTTCAGATGTAGTATGTCTGCTCCTCCTGACTTACTAACCCAGTTATATGGCATATAGTGTAGCCCTTTCTTGATGACTGAGGGACATTTTTATGAGCCTCTTCAGAAACAGGGTGAATGCCCTTGGGCATAACTAATGATCCAGGATTCGCACTGAATCCTCCAGACTTTTCTAGTGGGCGATCATTTTTGGGGATTTGTCCGTGATTTTAGTCAATGCCCGTTGTCACTCAGTTCATCTATTCCTGGCAGTGCGGGGTCTTAAAACAATGACGAATCATTCCCAAGAGGCAACTTGCCCACCAGACTCTCTGGCAAGCTTGGCCTGGAACAGCAGGAATGCCAGGGACAGGCTGACAGCGGTTATGTCTCGGCCCAAATAAGGTGGCAAATTTCATCCCTGCAGGGGGCCCCTAAAGATGAGTCAGAAAAGGGGCAAGATTCCTGCTAAGGACAGAGAACCAGGCAGTTCCGGCCAGAGGTCATTACCACATTTCTGGTGCTTAAGTAACCGTGTTCGGAATAGTGCCATCCAGCAGCCTGCACTCGGGGTGTCTTTCCATTGACGTTTGTTTCTTACACTGACCAAACTTACCAATGTTTTTCCACGTGACAGGGCGGTAGTGTTACAGCCAGGTTATTAGGCTTTCCGATTGTCAGAGTAACATGCCTACAATATTCTTAATGATATTATCACTTAGCAAAGCTGCTTTGAAAGGGAAGATTTTGTTTTCCCCCCTCCTCTGGGGAAGCTTAAAGGCCAGTTAAAAGCCACATATAGTTTTTTGGAGGCAGGTGAGAACTATTTTATTTTCTAAGTGCGGTAAATGAGCCCAAACACCATAACTAGAGGGCCATGCAGATGAGCCCAGTCAGGAGGCGGCAGCAGCTGAAGTGAGTGGTGAATTCGTGCAGACACTGGGAGGGTCTGAGGAGGAAAGCCAGGATGTGGGGAGAACTGGGGCTTATTCCTGATTGGGCAGCTAAGAGTCAAGTTGCAAACCTGTCTGATATAGTGGAGCGGGGGATACCTTCAGCAATAGCCACATTAAGGTGGGCTCTGGGCTCACAGTTCCTGGGCCATCGAGAACAAGCCTGGCAGAGGCTTTCCTCTTCCCAAATCTAAAGTCGGAGGACACTGTGCAAGGCCCGTCCTTCGAGAGCAGGCAGGCCTGGGCTGGGCAGCTTGCTGGTTACTGTGGCAGGGGAGTGTCTTTAGAATAAGGAGGAGTCTTTAACTACAGGGACTGTTCTGGAGATTACAGAGTGTGCGTGTACCTTTTTAAATGTTAACTAGTCTTTTTATTACAAATTGTTAGCATTTGATTTTTAAAAAATATATGATTGATTTCAGAGAGGAAGGGAAAGGAATAGAGAGAAACATCAAAGAGAGAGAATCACTGTTTGGCTGTCTCTCATCCCTCACCTAGATTTGGCATTCAAAAGATCAACCAGAATTTTGGGACCGAACCCAAAACCCAGGCACATGCTCTTGACCAGAATCAGACCTGGTACCCTTCAGTCCGCAGGCTGATGCTCTATCCACTGAGCCAAATCAGCTAGGGCAGCATTTGATTTTGTATAAATAAAGCTGACAAGTATAAAATGAAAACTAAATCACTCATTTAAAACTTTTATCATATGATATCCCATATTTATTGAGAGTTGGACGGAGGGAAATATCTTTTTGTAAAAAAATGAGTAAATTTACAGAAACTCTGTGGTGATGGTGGTGTGGGGAGGGCGGGGGCATCATTAGTAAGTCAAATTCAGATGGTCCCTGCTTTACCATGGTTGGAAAGCGATATGCACTCATAAGTAGAATCTTCCTTCAGATTCCAATGATCTTTCCCTGCGCCGGCGATGTGTGGCACGATGACACTCTTGGGATGCTGACAGTGATCTACACAACTGTGAGGGAAAATAGCCCATACTCTGCAGTGTGCTGCCAGCATTCTTTGGATGTAAATTACATGAGATATTGAACACGTCATTATTTTTTTCAACTACAGTTGACATATTATTAGTTTCAGCACACACACACTACATTGTGAAATAATAACTCTAATACTCATCTGACACCATAGTCATTACAATATTGACTATATTATCTATGCTGTAGTTTACATCCCCATGACTATAACTACTAATTTGTACTTAATCCTTATGTATCTGAGTATGTTTGTCCATTTATTCTATTCTTTAAATGCCACATGTAAGTGAAATCATTCAGCATTTGTTTTTTTGTTGTTTTTCACTTAGCAGAATACCCTCTAGGTCCATCCATTTTGTCACAAATTGTAAGATTTCATTCTTTTTTTGTGGCTTAATACTATTCCATGGTATATATGCATCTTTATCCATTTATCTATTGATGGACACATAAGTTGTAACTAATGCTGTAATGAATATAGGGATGCATATATTTTCAAATTGGTGTTTTTACGTAGATTTCTTAACATAAATACCCATAAGTGCAATTGCTGGGTTGTAGGGTGGTTTTTATATTTTTTGAGGACTCCCCCATGCTGTTTTCCACAATGGCTGCACAAGAGTTCCCTTTCTCCACATTCTGGCCAATACTTGTTGCTTGCTGGTTTATTAACGATAGCCATTCTGACAGGTCTAAGGTGGTATCTCATTGTGGTTTTAATTTGCACCTCTCTGATGATTAGTGACATTGAGCATCTTTTCATATGTCTATTGGCCATCTTCAGGTCCTCTGCCCATTTTTTAATAAGATTGTTTTAATAAGATTGTTAAGAATTTTGGATATTAACACCTTATTGGATGTCTCATTGGTGAATGTCTTCTCCATTCAGTAGATTGTGTTTTCACTTTGTTGAGGTTAGCTGGGTGCAAAAATTTGTGTTGATGTAGTCCCATCTGTTTATTCTTTACTTTTCCCTTGTCCAAGAAGATCTACCCCAAAAATATTGCTGAAAGATCATAGTTTACTGCCTATGTTTTTTTCTTCTGGGCCTTTTTTGGTTTGAAGGCTTACATCTACTTTATTATAAAAATAGGCTTTATATTAAGTGATTTTGCCCACCTAAAGTCTAATGTAAATGCTTTGAGCATATTTAAGGTAGGCAAAGCGATGATGTTAGGCATTAAATGTGTTTTCAATGGGTTTATTGGCACGTATCCCCATTATAAGTCCAGGGATGTCTGTATATGTAAGTGGATTGAGAGGAAAAGAGAGAAAATTTCTTTTTGCTGGGAGAAAAGGCTCACAAACAGATTCCAACTTACCAGAGAAAGTTGAGTCAGCTTCCTCCAAGGACTGACACACATTGATCAAGGACAACTGAAATGAAATGTTTTGGAATTGTGTAATGTGCTTAAGATTCCAGGAGACGTTCTACATTGTCTTAAAACCTCAGAATTTTAAACGTGTGCTTCCTTCCTTGTTTACCCCATCACACGTCTGCTGGAGATGTTCTCCTTTAAGGAAAGTTTCCGGAGGAGCCTGACCCTCTCCCCCACGGTGCTCCGTGTTCTCGGATGTCTTTGCATTCTGTTTAAAATGTCCTTGTTAATACAATACATTCCAAGGTTTGAACTCCATTCCTAGCGAAACCCCTTCCTTGTTTACAGGGACTGAAATAGCCACATTTTGACCTTCTGTTCAGTCTGGGAACATCTATGGCCACAGGGACACATTCTTTTCCCATGTGAGCATTACATTTACAAAACATCGTTATGGAAAGAAAAGCTCAGGAAATTAATAGATTCCCATCTCTCTCCTAGATTTGGCATTCAAAAGATCAACCAGAATTAAGTAGGAACCCCTCTTTCTTCCTGCTCAGGGGTGCTCAGAGCCCAACATGGTCCCCAGGCGTTTATCAAGACGAGGGGCCAAGTTCCAGGGCCATGGCCCATCGTCCCTGGCTCATTTTTCATGTAATCCCAGGGTCTGAATTATGGCTATATGCAAGTGACCACATCTGGGGTGAGGGAAAGAGGAAATAGTTTGAGGGAGGAAACTATCCATGCTAATCCTTCTGAAAGCCAAGTGCCTGGATAGTGAGAGCTCAGAGGAGAAAGGCTGGAGGACCTGGGGCTTATTCTGAATCTGGAAAGAGAGTAGGGTTGGAAGGGGAATTGGACAGAGAGGAAGTAGGAATAGGAACAAGCTTTTAAGGACTTTGGGGGAAGTATTGGTGAGATCTGAGTGGAGGTGGGGGTGTGTTTTAGGAATCATTGTCATCTTGTTGCTGCACACCTTCAGGGAATCATGTTAGAAACACACACCAGGAAAGGTAAGCTCAGGATGTTGATATCAGAAGTGAAAGAATGACCCAAGAGAGCAGGGCTGTGTCAGGGACAAAGACACAGGGAGAGGGGTCAGGAGCTGTTCAGGTAAAGTTTGGTAAGTCTGAGTTTAAGACATGTTGCTTTTGAGGTCATGCAGAAATGTCAGGGGCTGAAATTATAGGAGCGGGAGAATTATCTAGGACTAGAAACATCCATTTGCCCAAAAATGGTCGTGAGCTCCCCAGAGAAGCAGAAATAGGCCAGCCAGGCCCTTACTATCCACAGCCAAGGGCTGGAGCAGATGCAGGGACAACACATATCCCGATGTTCCTTTGCCTGTTCATTCAGTCCCTGACAGCAGTATGGCAGTTTTGGCTTCAGACCCTTGGTCTCAGTGTTCTGTCACCACATCCAGTTTGGCTGCTTTCCCAAGATGGCCCTCCAAGCCATGCTCCTTAGCGGCCCTTGGCAGCATGCAGGCCGCTTTGGTTCCAAGAGTCTAAGGGCAGCCAAGTGCCTTCCGCTGTGAATTGTTCCAAAGTACGAACAGCCGTAGAGGCTGTTGTTCCTCAGAAATGGTTTCCTGGAATCAGCACACACAGCCTGGGCTCCTGGCGCATGGTCAATCTGGGATGACGTGTAAGGTGTCATTCCAGGCCCGAAAAGCCAAGAATGTGGGGGGAGGAAGCTGACCTTGAGAATCCAGTGCAAGCTGGTTTTGCCTCTGTTTGTGGGTGGGGGCCTCTTCACACTCTAGGGAAGGGTGTGGGTTCATTGGAAAAGTCAGCTAGTACAGCTTCCACGGTGATGCCTGGCTTCATAGCCCCTGCAGCACTGCCCCATGGAAAGATGCCCCCGGCCCAGGCACGCACTCTCCTGCCACCCAGAGGATAGCAGAAATGTAGCTTTCAAGAGGGGGTCCTTCTGCTGGCCTTGCTCACTGAGCCCCACAGGATGTGTTTACCTACACCAAAGACGGATGTGAACAGCCTGGCCAACAGCTGCTGAGCAGGGGCTGCTCCCGCTATTGTGTTCACCAGGGGAAGCACCAGTCAGAGAGTGGGATTCCCTGAAGGTGTGCACTTCTAACTGCTGGACACATGCTTCTGTTTCAAAGAATTCTGCTGAGAAAGTAAAGGCAGGAGCTAGCGAGGGGCCGCTGAGGTAATGGCATTGGGTTTTCTGACTCATGGCTCATTATTAGTTTGACCCATTTGTGCTGCAATATACAAACCTGGCTGTGACAGGACTGACCGGCACTGGACAGATCTGCTTTGGGAAGGAGTATGTACCGAAATCATGCCATTAGCTATGTTTGAGTATTTACCAAAATATGTTTCTAATTTCAGGATTTACTGCTACATATATATTTTCCCAGATAAGTCTAACTTAGGACAGTTATATGGGTTTTCAATAATGATATTTTCGTTATATCCTCCTCCTAAGCATTTCCTGTACAAAATTCCAGTTATACCGATTTACACCTACATATACCTTTTCTACAACCACAAATTTATGAGTCTGGCATGCTGGTAAGAGGATGGCAAGAAAACAAGGTACTTGGAGAAAGAAAATTAAAATGACAGGATAATCACAGAGGTTTCACAATGCAGCCTTTAACACAGTTAACTAAATCTAGACAGAGGAGCTGAGATACACTTCCCAACATCCTGGGACCAGGGAGGCTCTGCCAGCGACAAAGGACTCAACGACTGTCCCAAGGCCCCACAAAGCAAGACAAGTATGAGCATTTCCTGGCAATTGCAGGGGAAGGAGGTACTGCGAATTTCTAAGAAATCAATGGAAATTAAATATATGCCCTACGTATCTAAGGTTAGACCATCGATACTCTCGTGTCTTTACTCGGCGAGTCAGTAAATATATTGCACGCTGACAAACCTTTTTGTAGAGAATCACCAAGAATTTCCCCAGGTGATGAAAGTTTCACGAATTCTATCAGGAGGTGTCTCCAAGCACAACCCCGCAGCAGGCAGGAGGGATTACTGCACACACTTGTGACCTGCTTTCCTCACACATTCCTTTCTCTTTCAGGCGTGAAAAAACCTTGCCCAGTTTTGATCCCTTCAAGACTTTGCCACAGCCTCTATCACACATCTGCTTCTCTTGAAGAAAAAAATATAATAAAAATGTTTTACTCTTTTACACTGTATAATTGTAAGAAATAGTGTGTTATTTGTGAATGCATGATCTGACGTCCATTTCTGTACAGTTTGGAGAGATTTTCAAATGAAACATAAGAGACGTCAACATAAACCAAGAGTGAGTATTTTTATACCGAACACTGAAATATGATAGGATGATCTTACACTGGGTTGGATCACAATTTTTGTGCTTATTTTTTCTAATACAAGGTGCATGTTTGAGGCATGCTTTTAAATATGCAAATTTCCTGTTAAGGTACAGAAACCTGGCCCAAGTCCGGGGAGAATGAGAACCGTGGAGTTAGATGTTAGAGCTGCGCTGACTGAAGCACAAGGTGTGCGCTGGCAGGTCTAGGACGCCCTGCAAGGCCATCGCCAGCCTCCAGGAACTGCTGCCAGAGTGACAGGCTCACAGCTGGGCACAGCAGCCTTTCCCTGGAGAGGGGTCCCTTAGAGGTTCCTGGCAGCCCCAGAGCTCACACAGTCTGTCTCACTGAAGGGAAACCTTGACTCTAAGAGGCCAGTGCTGCCTCAGGAAGCTGGCTCTGCCCATCCTGCATAGCTGCAGTGGGCGGCTCATGTCTCCTAGGTGATATTGCAAATTACTGGCTGAGCTGGTGCTGGCTGCACCGTGCCAATGAGCCATTCAAAACATGGTTTTTAACCCTATGCACTTCCTGGGATGCTTGCACCACACCAGCCCATGAAGGTGGCACAGTAATATAGACCTAAGAATTCCTACTGCTGACCTGCCAAAACATGATCATAATCTTTCTTAACTACCTGCTCATGTTGTGCTACAGACTTCTATGTTTTAATGATTATGTGGTTGGGTTAGGGTTTGTTTCATTGTCTTCCATTAGAAATAAACATGTCAAGAAGCTTTTAAAGGTCATCCGTTTGTTTCATTGTCTTCCATTAGAAATAAACATGTCAAGAAGCTTTTAAAGGTCATCGCACAAAAAACAAGAAGGGCCAGGAAAGAGGCCTCTTACCTTCATAAATGAGGCCAAGGGCACTCACAGCGCGGCATGGGCAGCTGTGTTCAAACCCTGGATGTCTTCAGCACGCCTGGCTCTCAGTGAGACTTCTACACTCGTTTCTAAGGAAAGCAGCAACTTTCACATCGTCCATTATGCTTTTATACACTGTTTAAAGGTACTTTTCTATTGTCATTTAAAAAAAAATAAAGTGCTTATCCTAGCTGTCACACCACTGCTTGGCAAATTTCTTTTTACCAGATTAACTAAGAGCAAACCACACTGCAGCCAGGGACCAGCAGGCAGATTTCTTTATGCCTTCTAAGTTCTCGACAGCCAGGGCAGAGAGACCACCAGGAAACGGCTGGGAGAGCCAGACAATAACCACCACAGAGGCCCCGTTGTGGCCATGTGGTAAGCGACACTGACGCCTTAGGCCTGTGGTTGGCAAACTGCGGCTCATGAGCCACATGCGGCTCTTTGGCCCCTTGAGTGTGGCTCTTCCACAAAATACCACGGCCTGGGTAAGTCTATTTTGAAGAAGTGGCGTTAGAAGTTTAAAAAATGTGGCTCTCAAAAAAAATTTTAATCGTTGTGCTGTTATACTTGGCTCTGTTGACTGAGTTTGCCAACCACTGCCTTAGGCCATGGCCCTTACTGACCTGCTGGAGGCGCTCCTGGTAAGTGCACCACCTCTTTATTGATGCCTTTTACTGACCACATCCACCTCAGCCTACGAAACAGCCTCAGTTTATCTGAAATCTGTAGTCATTTATGGTGCCTGCTAACTTAAAATACAATTGATAGCCAAGATGATAAAAGCATTTTTCTATACACTCTCACCAAGCCCTCTTCCCCCAGAAGGGGAACCCACAGTGCTCAGTTCCGGCAAGTCTTGTCGGGCACTGACATTACTGTTCTGGTGGTTTGGATCTCACATCCCTTTAACAGAGGAGATGGTCACCAAAAGCAGGTCCCCATCGCAGCCTTCCACTACCCTGGAGCCCAGGCGGAGCAGAAGAAAACCAACCGAGCTGCAGAGGCCATGCCAATGGCTCCAGGACAGGCTTGGTCATGAGGCTCTGGCTTCTGCCCATCTGTGACTTCCCAGTCAGAGACGCCAGAGGTTAGAGGTCAGCCTAGGAATTAAGGGCTTCACCCCTGAAGAACAAGGCACTGGGGACGGATGAATGGGTGCTCCAGGCATCACCACACTGATGGTCATCAGTGATGTGCAAGGGCCAAGCCTACCTGGTGCTTATGAACTTGGTATGTTCCCACTGACTACTCAGCTGGGTACCAGCTTCATTACAGTCTGAAAACTGCCTTTTCAGTCACTACAGGCAGGAGTGAAGAGTGCCTAGAACTGGGAACCTGGGATATGAAAGATCAAGTTTGTTTGTTCCCTCATGTTTACATTACACTCCCAGTTTGTAGGCGCCACAAAAAATGGGTACTAAGCCAATTTTTTTTTCTTTCATTAACAAGCAAACCGTTTATTGGGAGGTGAGGCCTGCCCTTGTGAACATACCTAAGACTAAACAGACATCTAACATTAAATGCTATGCTATATCTTCTGCCTCTAACAAAATTACAAATTAAAAGAACTTTGAAAATGAAAGTCAACGCCAGTTAATCATATCTAAGCTTCAAACTCACTAGACCACATGTGTCAAACACAAGGCCCGCGGGCCAAATCCGTCCCGCCAGGCCTTGCAATGTGGCCCGCACCGAGCTGTCATCACTGCACTCCGCTGTGTTTCCATCACAATGACAGTTTATGACTGTTCAGTAAACCATTCGGCCCTCGATTTAGGCTGGATTTTAGATTTTGGCCCCTTCTCTGATTGAGTTCGACACCCCTACCTAGACCCAACGTTTATACATACGCTGGGCCTTCTATGGGACCACTGTGTAAGTCTCACTGCTCTCATCTCTGAGGTTCCCCGAACCCCAGCACCCCACGGCATCTTTGGGTCCTGAGTTTTGTGGCATAAGGAACATTCCTGAGCAAGCCTAGTGCTAGGAATATGTACACATTCCCTACGGCCTGCCACATCACTAAGACATCCACCTGTCAAAGAACGGAGCACCCTCACCCAGTTTTAAGAGTGTTGGTACATGACTGGTCTTACTCTTCAACTCCTAATCCACTCTATCCCGTAACAATTATATGGCATTCAAGGCCCAGTGCTTGGAAATTCATGCACCGGAGGGGGGTCCCTCAGCCTGGCCTGCCCCCTCTCACAGTCTGGGAGCCCTTGGGGGCGGTAGGCAACCCGGTGATGAGGGGAAGGCAACGCCCCATCACACCTCTGCTGCGGCCACTGCTGGCAGCTCAAGCCTCAGGTGGCCTTGGACACCTGAGTAGCTGCCATCTAGGGCTTGCCTGCCCCTCATGCCAGCCCTGGGCAGCTAGGCAGCTGACAGCCGAGGCTTGCCATGCCTTGGGCTGGCCTTGCGGGGCTGAGGAGGCAGGTGCGTGGTGGGGCTAAGGGGACTGGGCGCCATCTCTGAGGGCATGGTATTCAATTAGCATATCCCTTCCTCATTGGCTGTGGGCACCGCCATCTTTGTGATGGCATGAAGGTCAATTAGCATCTTCACTCTTTATGAGATAGGATTCTTGGAAGGCGGGAGAATATCTATCATCAGTGAGGTGTTACCTGAAATACTGGTATTTAAAACACCTACACTAAAACTAAGGACTGTGAATACTGAAAACACATGGAGTCAGCTGACTGAGTAAGGCCCCAAACGGGGGAATTTTAAACTGCCACAGTGAAGCTCTTGTCTGCCTCTGCTACAGGCCCTCCTCGATGGGACTTAATAGTGTTAACCCTTCCCTAAACTGGCCTGGCTGCCCTACAATCCCACAACCCAAAGATGCCAATATGTCATGAACATTCTTTCTCGTTTTACCCTCTTCACAGCTCTCCAGTAAACCGGCAAGTTCTATTTCACCAGTACTTCCAGGGCACCCACCACACTGATTCCTGCTTTACAATGAGGGGGAAAGCCCTTTCCTACAAACCATAACACACTATGCCCATAAGTAGGACAACAGTGAAGCCTTCCACACACCACTGCTCACACACATCTTTCGCTTAAAATTCAAGTGAAACCCTGACCATGCCAATTAACACAGTTAAATCAGAAACTTAGGCCAGAGGCTTAAATTCAACCCAAACGTCTTCAGAGCAAAAAAAAAAACCCTCCCTAAACTGAATGAGAAATGATGCTCAGGGTAAAATTTACCTGTTCAAAAGAGCACTTTCCCCCGAAAACTAGCATACAGGGCTTGGGTGAAAGGGAGGGGCTCAGCAAGAAAGTTCAAATTGTTAGAATAGTCAAGTGCAAGATAAACCTGCTCCTGGGTGTTTGTGAAGCAGGTCCTGCCTAATTCAGGCTCCGGTTACTCAGTTCTCTCCTTTAGTACCTTTCTGTGTTTTCACTTATTTTAAGATAAGTTTGGATTGAATGTCCTTTGAAGCATGACCCCTGCAAAATTCTGGGTGGCTGAAATTCACTGGGTTCTCACAGGGTCTTGAAGCCGCATGGTTTAAGTCACAGGAATGTGCTGGCTTGCCTCCAAACCAGGGGAGCCGGACCAGTTCTACGGGCCTACCTGTCCAAAGGGACCTATGACGGCGGTCTTGCCACTCTGCTGGAGGGCACCAGCGGGTTTATTTCCAATGGAAATCCTTTTATAAAGGAAAATGTGCTTTTATTTTAACTATGGCCAGAAGGAAGGTCAAAAGCACAATGCCAGGGTCTAGTCTACCTGTTTCCAAAGTATGTTTCCTACACACACACACACACATACACACGCTGGGGCAGGGTTCCAAGGTCTAATTTACCACAGAGACCAAGACAGATGACATCAGAAGGTACGAGGAACAGGTCCACACCAACCGCATCGTCCAGGCCACAGCAGCACCATGCTGAGGTCTCCCCTAAGCCTCCAGTTCCTCCAGAGGAAAGAGCGCCAGGATGGACATCCACCTGCCCCAGCGTTGAGTCACTTCTTAGGAGACCCCCTTCAACCTCACCCCTCAGGACTGCAGGGAAATTTAACCATTGGGAATCTGATTGTGGCAGAGAAGGGGGAAGGGTTGCAACAATCAGCACTGAGTTCTTGGCAGACTGAATTCCTACCTGCAGTGCCCAAGTAATCATGCACAGCATAATGACATTTTGGTCAACAAAAGACCACATATAGATAGTGGTCTCATAAGATTATAAAGGAGCTGGAAAATTTCTATTGCCTAATGACATTATAGCCATCATAATATAGTGCAATGCATGACTCGTGTCTGTGGCAATACAAGTCTAATGCATTACCAGTGGTACAAGTGTTCAACACATACAATTACAGTAGTAGGCTATGGCACCTACCTTTGTGTAAGTACACTGTTACGTTTCCACAACAATGAACTACCTAACAATACACTTCTCAAAAAATATCCCTGTTGTTAAGCAGCTCATCACTGTAATAATCCCAACCAGCATATTTGAACAAGTAGATGTCACAGTCCAACCAGGGAAATGAGCAGGTGCAGGTCTGATTTGGTTCTCAGACTAAGAGCTTTGCTAGCCCTTGAGCCTGGTCTGCCCTTGCCTCAGGCAGGGGGGCTGAGTCAACAGATTGGCAACAACACTTAGAAGCTGCATAGTCCAGCAACGCTAGAACAGATCAGAAGCAAGCAGAGCTGATCACCTGCCAAGCTAGTGCCACATGTGTAGGGTTCCCGGCTCTGCGCAAGCAGGGGAGTGAAGTCATGGACCCACCCACCGCTGAGTGTTGCTCCTGCCCGCTCCCAAGCAGAAGTCCTGATCAAGGCAACCTGGAAATTTCCCATGCCATCATTGCTGAGTGAAGCTCCCAGCCCCACATGACTAGAAAACCTGGCCAGAACATCTGTAAAGTTGAGTTGCATAGCCCACAATGCTCAGCTGTTAAGTCTGCAGTGAAAATCTAGTGTCCCTATTTAGCCAGAGAACTTTCACATCAGCTTGAGTCAAGATCATAAAGAGCCTTATCAGCTTTGAAGTTGGTTCTCCCACTGCACCAGGAAGGGAAACTAATTGGAAGCATTACCCACTTAAGATATTTTAAGTAAGCCTCATGGTAACATTAGGGAAAAACCTGTAGTAATTACACAAAAGAACATAAAGTCAAATCATACTGATATCAAAAGGTATCAAAACACAAAAAGGAACACAGGAT